GCCCCCGCCCCCGTACCCGTAGCCGTACGCCTCGCGCTCGTTCACCGCACCCACTGTAAAACAAGACAAAACCCGTCAATCTACATATACTAGATCTGATTATCAAGATTATGCATATTAGCTAATGTTGTGCAGAGTTTTGCTAATAGAGTTGCGACGGAGGCGCGCTCCGCGGGACGAACAATAGCCCAATTTAAACGCGGTGGATGAAGGCGCCTCAACATTGTGTGTTCACAAGCGTCGCTAAACAATTGTGGGACCCGTGCGACTCACAGCATTACCGCTGGGAGACGCGGACCACAATCTATATTTTTAAACTAAGCCTCGAGTATTTTGTAAACAAGATTTGGCATATTTCTGCGCACGGCCGTCGATGTTCGCTTTTCTAGTAGCGATTAGAGTAGTTATGTAATTCATGACAGGATGCTACGAGTTTTGTTTTATTCCATTCGAGAATTGACATTTTAAAAACTTCAATAGTTTTGTCATCCGATTTTGTTATGTTGATTGTACATAAATGTAGCGAATTTTAATGTACAACACGAGGTACTGTTGCTAGTTTGTGAAAGTAGATGGAACATGTTCTAGAAGATAGAAGGGACGTGTCGTAATAATTAAATGGACGTGAATCAAACGCAAGTTAAAAAATTCACCTAAGCTTTGATAAGAACTAGTAGTTGAAATAGATAAAGTCGGCTAGATTGCGTCAAGCGACGCCCGCCGCCGCTCCACCTCGCCATCTCGCCTTGACCCCAATGGCTCGGCACTCGACAGCTCGCACTCGGCTGCCCCCAGCCGCTGTCCAGTCGTTCATACGACGTTTTCCTCTATCATATGTTACATTTTTTATTAAGCCTTTAAAATTTTTGGTTCTTTATGAGACAGTTAAACTTAAATGTTCCGAACAATACGATAGAGGCCAGAAGATATCACTAACGTTAAATATGTATCATTTATTAGGACGTAGAATAACATTAGTATTATTCACGTGTTATACAATCTGTGCAGAGAAGTTTGGCTACGCACAACGTATGTATTTATAGAAACGCTGTAAACACCGCGCCATGGACGCGGCCGCCATTTTCTTTCTAATATTATCTAAGTCGCGTATTTTCGCGCGGCTTATCGGCGGTCGTTGACCCCGGCGCACGTGTGTCCGCGCCCGTGCCTGTGCCACAGTCCACAGCCGATGTCTCCGCACATGTTGTGACAAACATATACAACATTCGATATAAAACATTATTGATTCATATTATTTACTCTGTATTAGCTCGATGAGAGCCCGAGTTTGAAATTGACAGGATAAAAATTCAAGTGTAACTACGATTGATGTTATTCACTTTTGTGATATATGTAAATAACAATTGTTAATTGGGCAACATTTTCTATGAAAATATAATTAGGTACCTATATACACGTTTTATACCTGTGTACTTTTTAAAAGTATTAAAATAGCAGCCACTTATCGTTACAGGATGTTTGTGCATTATGTTAAAGATAAGATTATTATTTTGGAGAAAGGAAATACAATTTGACATTCATTTTGATACGAATATCTAGATTTACGTATACTAAATAGACGATTAAGCTGATAGTAAACAAACACGGAGGTTTAACATATCTTCTTGTTAGACACAGAGTAGTATTTCGAATCTGTGCAGTTTTCCTCGAACGTCTCCGCGGCGTGTATTTCCGCACGGCAACTAGCAACACTTGATAAAACACCAAGACCACGACGTAGTTTGTGTGCAGGAAGATTTAGACAGCTATAATTCAACAAATCAATGAATTAATTTCGATTTATCAATAACCCAATAATCGTCCAATTTTGCATAGAAATAAGAAATTAAAAAGCTTAGTTATATCATATTTAACAGTAATTCGTTACTTTTCAGTTATTTTACGTTTATACAAAGAACTTTTTTTTCGTAATGTGACAAGGGTGTACACACGGTAACTTATCATTTTAGGACATCTGTCCCGTTCAGCGGCTAGGGTCGGAAATAGGACTTTAATACCGTGTTAACCCAAATACAGTATTTACTGAGCACGGCGACCGGACGAGGCTTTTAGGGATGGTCACATTTGATTTGAATATAAGTAGAGCTCTAACCAAAATAAAAGTATACATACATTTATGTAGTACTTTGAATCAGAAATTATCAAAATTATAAGGAAGGTTAATAACGTTAAATTTTATCTTTTGCAGAATCTTACTTTATTTATTTATTGCATTTTTTATTCAAATTTTCATAGTGAACTTTTAAAAAATGAATAGCCAACTGTGATAATGTTATTTGTTAGTACATTTGAGTTGTGAGAGTATTGTATGTGTAGACGCATCGCGCATAGCGTATGTCGGAGTAACGGGCTCGGGCAGGCGAGTGTTTGCAGTGGTCGCGTCGCCTCGGATCTGTTATTTACAATTTAATGAACCGTTCCCTGAACGCGCCACATAAAATCCCTCGCGCCTGGGAAGACGCTAACAAAACAGAGTAAAAAACTTGCATTTTATGCGCCGCCGTTTCTATTTTTAACCGGCTGGACGCATCCTACTGGTTTCGCTGCTGCAATATCAAGGTTACGCGCCCGCTTGTAGTTCTAGAATGTCATCTCCACTCGGCCGCTCCTGTGCGGGGAAAACAAGCATACGTCCGACGAGGCCGTGCCAAAGTGGACCCTAATGCGTATGGATAGCGGGCATAGTTGACTGGCTCGGTTCCGGGATCGTTTTATTCCCGGATGCGAGTGTGCGAACCGCGCTTAGAAGCGCGGGGGCGGAGGCGAGGGGGTAGGCAGGACCGGTCTCGTCGCGCATCCCGCGCTCGCAATAAATGGGTTACCCCACAAACCTCTTGCGATACAAACTGGTGTGCTGTTTTACTGCCTCTAATAGCGGCCACATTGCTTCGTGTGCACTGTGCTCACACTAGCGCGCGCGTGTCATCCCACATGCATTTGTATGAATACGTTTCTGTTAGCGTATTGCATCTAACACTCTACACTGAATATGATAACTAACTTGAAGTAACCGTAACATAGTGAAATAAAAGTAAGTTAATCGTTAAAATGTTGTAGAGGACGTTGTCGTCGTTCCTAATGATATCCTCATTAGCCGCTATGTCGCCTTGTTGCTTGTTGTGTGATAGATAACATTACCGGTTGATGTTACATTATTTAAAATATTTCTACTATGATTCTGCACTGAAAATGCAACGAAGTAAAACTTGAAAACACAAGTTTAAACAATTTTTGTATAATAACTTTCTTTGTATTGTTCAGGTAATACAGGAAACGCGATAATCGCCGCTTATCTGTGACGCCGCGGTTTGCAAAATATTTTATCGCGATACGCGATGTCAGCGAGATAACTTATCGGCCAGAACATTTCCTCCAAGCAACTGAAATGTGCACAAATTATGCGAATAACAATACTTTTATCGGACGCGTGATACATTTTTTTCAAACGGAAGAGATAGCACAATCGCCGCTGCAAGTGTACACACGCCTCATATAAATAATGGAAATGTTTGTCTGTAGTTTTGCACAATTTTATGATAAGTAGCTGTAAAGATGTTTGTTTATTTATCTATAGCTGCGACCGACTCATGATACTTTGCAACAACTCTTAAATCCACATGAAAAACGTTGTTAAACTTTATGGAATATATAAAGAAATAATTGCGTACGTAACAAAAATTAGAATGTTGTTAAACCGGACGATATTAATAAATTGTGGTGGTAGATGCACCATCTCAGCTTAGTTTAGTCATTGTTCATTTTCGTAAGGGAACGTCTTGTCGCATCGTGTCGGACGAATGCATAACTATCATAGTTTAATTGTGATTTGAAAACAATGCAATTTTTATTCAGAGTCATATCCTCTCGCAGGCACAATGGATTGGCGACGTCTTCGTCCTGCACGACCGGAAGGCAGCGGACCCTGCGCCGCCTCTAGGGCTACCATCGTATTACGCCCTTAA